ACACAGGCGCAATGGCTCTCAAACTGTGACTGTAAAGCAGGCCTGGTTCACGAAATGGCTCCAAAACTGTGAGATACATAGAAACGCATGAAAACGGCAGACTAAATGAACCAAGCTACCCTATTTTGCTTCGCTCTGGGCACAGGGTATTCGAACTAATCGTTCATTCTTGTGAGATTCGGCAGTTAAACAAGAAATATCTCTGGGACTGTGCAGCACATGCAACAGAAATCGTTGAGACTATCGAAATGCATATACCCTGTATTTGTTGTTGTTGTTGTTGTTATTGGGCATACTAAGCCCATACTTTGTTGTCAACGGAATCCGCTCTTAAGTGGCATTCGATATGCAGCTGTGCGAGCAATTGCGATCGTTTATTTTTCTGCGAATCAATTTGTAATCAATTCCGGAGAGACGTCGCCCCGCACGCCTAGGCAAATCGTACAGCAACTATTAAATGCATATTTAACCTACTTAAATGTTTATGCACATGTGCACAAACAACATAAACATAAACAATATAGATGGAAGCCAAGTCTCAGGCCGGCGGTTGAACAGTTCGCATCGAGTTTACGCTCACAACACAAACTGAATCTTTGCTTGGATATTAAACTTCATCACAGAACTATCTTCACGGACAAAAAAAGCTTTGAATAGGCTCCCAATGAAGATAAGACTCGGTTCCCAATGAAGATAAGACTCGGTTCCCATTGAAGATATGACTTAGACTTCTATGCCTTGAATTTCTTTTAGAGATAGCTTTGATATGCTTCTTTGGCCAAGCCTTTGCCAATTATGTCAAATGTAAACCTAGATAAATTGTTAGTCTAATCTAAATTGAGAAAGGGGTAGATTAGGCTATTCAATGTCAGCATTAACCGGCTTTGTTCGGTCAATACAATTTAAACCTTGAATATGTTTATGCTTTTCTATATATATATTTATATATATTCCTGATCAAGCTAATGCGCTACGAAAGCTAGAGACCTGACACTTGAATATATATATTCCACTTAACCAAACCCACATCGAGCTTAACATTTCCTGTCGATATCTCCTCCACTTTACATAATATCGATAAATATAGATTTTGGTACTTTGCTTTTTGAGCATAACTCGAGAACTGTCAGATTGTTATGCAGGTTCTCGTCTAGTCTATTTAGATAAAGTATAATGTACAACTCTTTCCATTTGCCTTTAAAATTGTGAAAAATTGGGGAGAATTCTTCCTAAAGAAAAAGCCTTGCACTTTTAGCTCCCAAACAGGCTAAACCGATTGTAGCACGTTTTATCTGTTTACATTTTCAACAATTGTATATTTATATATATAATTAGCCGTTATACAACAGAAAACAACATTTGATATAGTCGCGGACAAGCCAGATGGTTTTCAATTATTATGGAAATGCGTTAGAAGCGAGTGAAGAGCTGCAGCTGCGACGTTTCCTTAACCAGAATCACGCACTTCTTCCTAAATTACTTTTATATCCCATTTATGCGATTGCTATAAGATTTGCAATGCATAAAGATGGCCATCAAATTTGAGAAATCGAAAATATTTTTGTTCAATCATGAAATTAAACTCATTTAGAGCTGTCAAGCAGATAATTCCCATTATTCTAGTAGTTAATTCCCTTTATTCTAGCAGATAATTACCATTATTCTAGCAGCTAGTTCCCCTTATTCTAGGAGACAATTTTATTATAGGAGACAATTCCCTGTATTCTAGCAGATAATTCCCTTATTCCAGAAGATATTTCCCCTTATTCTAGCAGATAATTCCTTTTATTACAGCAAACAGTCCGCCCTGATTCAAGCAGGCAATTCCCATTATTCCAGCAGACAAATCCCTTTATTGTAACAGACATATCCCCTTATTCTAGCAGACAAATCCCTTTATTATAACAGACAATTCCCATTATTCTAGCAAACAAATCCCTTTATTGTAACAGACATATCCCCTTATTCTAGCAGTCAAATCCCTTTATTATAACAGGCATATCCCCTTATTCTAGCAGACTATTCCCATTATTCAAGCAGACAAATCCCCTTATTCTAGCAGACAAATCGCCTTATTCCCGCAGACAATTCCCATTATTCTAGCAAATTATTCCCCTTATGCGATTAAACCACTTGCTAATCGTTAAATCTCTCTTCTGTTTTTGCCAGGTCATCTCGACGCCCTCGGACATATTCATGATCATGGAGTATGTGAGCGGCGGGGAGCTGTTTGACTATATTGTGAAGCATGGCAAGCTGCAGGAGCATCAGGCGCGACGCTTCTTCCAGCAGATCATATCGGGCGTGGACTATTGCCACAGGCATATGATTGTCCATCGGGATCTGAAGCCGGAGAATCTGCTGCTCGATCACAATATGCACGTGAAGATCGCCGACTTTGGGCTGTCGAACATGATGCTCGACGGTGAATTCTTGCGCACATCGTGCGGCTCACCCAATTATGCGGCGCCCGAGGTGATATCCGGCAAATTGTATGCCGGACCCGAGGTGGACATCTGGTCGTGCGGCGTCATACTGTATGCCCTGCTATGCGGCACGCTGCCGTTCGATGATGAGCATGTGCCTTCGCTGTTTCGCAAAATCAAATCGGGCATTTTTCCCATACCGGAATATCTGAACAAGCAGGTGGTGAATTTGGTGTGCCAGATGCTGCAGGTGGATCCGCTGAAGCGTGCCACCATTGAGGAGATCAAGAAGCACGAGTGGTTCCAGAAGGATCTGCCCGCCTATTTGTTTCCCTCCTCCATCGAGCAGGACTCCAATGTCATCGATACGTACGCCGTGGCCGAGGTTTGCACCAAGTTCGGCGTCAAGGAGTCCGAGGTGCACAATTCCCTGCTCAGCGGCGATCCGCACGATCAGCTGGCCATTGCCTATCATCTGATCATTGACAACAAACGCTTCGCGGACGATGCGGCCACACAGATCAGCGAGATCAACAACTTTTTCGTAGCCGGCTCACCGCCGCCGCCCATGTCCCATTCGCCACACGAGCCTCGCTCCAGCGGCGCCGAGCCCTCCGCCACGGCTGTTGTCGGTCCAGGTGCTTCTGGCGCCGGCGGCGCTAGCGGAGGCACTGCAGCCAGCTCGGGCAGCGCCACGCCCAGCGGCGCGGGGAGCAGCGCTGCGCCCAGCATACGACCGCATCCGGAGCGCATAGCGCCGATGCGCGAACGCCAGCTGGCCATGTCCGTGCAGAATACGGGTGGAGCCGCCTTTCCCGAGAAGACGGCGCGCGGCGGCACGCCCATCAAGCGGGCCAAATGGCATCTGGGCATACGATCGCAGAGCAAACCGAACGACATCATGCTGGAGGTATATCGGGCCATGAAGGCGCTCAACTATGAGTGGAAGATCATCAATCCGTATCATGTGCGCGTCCGGCGCCAGAATGTCAAGACCGGTAAATTCTCGAAAATGTCGCTGCAGCTCTATCAGGTCGATCCGAAGAGCTATCTGCTTGACTTCAAATCGCTGACCAACGACGAGGTCGAACAGGGCGACGATGTCATCATGGAGAGCCTCACACCGCCCCCATTGAGCGTTAGCGGCGCCATGCCCCAGCAGGCGACGGGCCATCATACGATGGAGTTCTTTGAGATGTGCGCGGCGCTCATCATACAGCTGGCGCGCTAAGGCCACGCCTCAACCAAAATAACGCCCAACCCCCTCCCCCCCTTCCCACGTTTAAATTCTGCATACGCACGCCCATGGCATGGCGTCCAGATGAGCCACAAAGTGGACTCCAAAACCAATTTGGACGCCATCTCGTGTTAATATTATTCTTATTATTACTATTCTTATGCCTATTATTATTATTATTATATATATATATATACCCCTGCTCCAGCCCGCCCGTACCCAGCCAAGATTTGTTTTCCCTAGTTTAAATTGTGTTGCTACGATTTTTGATGTCCTTAGCGTGTTTTGAATCCTTGATATTGATTTGTTTACTTTTTATGTTTTTTCTTTTTGTAATATTTTACATTATTTTATATTATGCTAAACAAATTGTATTTAATATGATTACATCAAGTTGCAATAATCCCCTTTAAGCCAATTTATTTTTGAACCCTTCATATATATATATATATATATATATATATATATATTTTTTACAGGCCGTTGCTTTTTACGCCTCTTGTTGAAATCTTTTTTGTTTTCTATTTTATTTTTTTTTAAATGTATAAGGCATAGCTAAATTACAGAAGCTTATGGCAAACAAATTCGTTATTTTGAACTGTAACAAGACAAAAAGTGGAACTAAATATACAATATATCCATATATATATATATGAATATATATACAAACATCGAGTTGCCAGCAAAAATGTTGAACAATTTGTTTCTCTACATACCCTAAGCGCAGCTAACAAAAGGGGTATAATGGCCTGTGCACAGGCAGCAGTACATATATATATGTCTATATAGATTCTGCATCAGAAGGAGCAGCTGAGTCAAGCCACAACTTAAAAAGCTAAAGACTTCAATTTCTAAACATATATATGCATATAGCCATAGATCGTGATATCGATTTTTTACAGGGAATATAGTTTGGAATTTAGTCCAATTCACTTTCTGGACATCTCCAGCTAAAGGCAGAGCCCTGCGACTTGGTCTATCAAATATTCAACTATAACAAGTAAGAGGTTCTAGTCGGGAGCTCCCCCCTGAACCCTCTTCTTCCAACATCAAATGCATATATATATTCTATTTTAGATGCTATATGTCAAGTTTGGTGGCTCTAGCTATTATTATTTACCAAAATTGCCCAAAAAACAGGATATCGACATCGATTTTTATCGATTGCTTGGAAACGGGGCAAGTTATCGATTATCGGAAGCAAACTCGATCTGCGCGAGAACTAGGAGCATCTACATCTAGGAGCATTCCTGTCCTTAGCTCTTATAGGTTCCGAGATCCTTGCGTTCATACATACGGACAGACGGACGGACAGACAGACATGGCTAGATCAACTCGGCTATTGGTGCTGATCAAGAATATATATACTTTATGGGGTCGGAGAAGCTTCCTTCTGCCTGTTATTACGTAAGCTCTATGGTTATTTGGCATACAATTGCAATATTTGTTTATGTTTAATAACAATTTAATTTCTTTGCTAACGACATTTGATTAATATAAATATACAGAATCTGCTAGCAACTATTAAAGAAAAGAAACACACACACAATACTAAGGCGTTGAAATTTGAAGTCTTACATTAGATGGTTAGCTTACTAACTAAGTAGCAGTAACTAACTAATGCGCATTTAACTATATAGTATTATTAAGGAGTTTAGTTATTGCCATAGCTTACAGACTGGCCGTGACTCGAGAAAGCGAGCCGCAAGGTTTACTGAGCAATATGCTTGACGGCCTATTGCGATATACATATATATCAATCAATCAATCAATTATTATCGTAATCATAATTTTCCCGCCCCGCCGTCACCCGCTGTGCCGTGCACCAATTAAATTCTTAAGGCCGCAAAATACAATAATATCTAAGCAAGAGGAGCTACTGCTATTTCTCCCCCTCCTCCTCCTGCTGCTACTGCTACTTCTCCTCCTGCTGCTGCTGCAGTTGAAGCTACTGATTCTGCTGCTGCTTGCGCTTGAGCTTGTCGATGAGGGTCTCTATGCTGTTGGCATCCACCAGGCCGATGAACTTGTCCACGACGACGCCGTTGCGAAAGGCCAGCACGGCGGGCACGGCCTTAACCTCAAACGTTTCCACCAAATCCAGATTGGCCTCCACATCGATGATCGCCAAATCGATTTCATTCGAATTCTCCAATAGCTCCAGCATTTTGGGCGTGAGTATTTTGCAGGGATCGCACCATTCCGCATGAAAGTTCACAATTACCGGATTGTCGCTGTTTATGACCTAACGGTGAAAAACAATCACAATTTAATAACAACAACAACACCATTATCTTTATGTATTTTGGATAGTGAAGCCGAACGATTCTGACTTATTTGCATACACGCGCATACGCACAAACAACTTGATGAAGTGTTGCTAGTCGACTAGCGGATACCCTGTACTGAAATATATGCGCTTTTCAACTTTTTTACAACTTTCAATTTGTAAACATGTTTTTTTTTCTCCATATTTGTTTTAAAAGAAGAGGAAGAAGAAAATAACCAGTGTTTCCTTAAAAAAAATAAAGTGCCACTTTTGGTAAATTTGTGCCCGATTTGGCAACCAGCTGTTTAATCCAAGCGAGTGTGTATACACTTTTTTGTATTCCGTTATTTGTTTACAGGGTATCAGATGAGCCGCCAAATACGTACTCGCCATTGCCGAAATGCGTCACTGGTTACGGCCGGAACCGCTCACGTAGGCCAAACGGCCAACAACCAGTCGGATAGCCGCATGCCAAGCGCATTGCATAATGCTACGGCACTTGCATCCGTGTGTGAGTGAGCAAATGCAAGTGCATTCACATTTAAGTACAGGTAATTATGGTTGCTGATGGTGCTCACCTTCTGATCGAAATCGTAGTGATCCTTGATCACCAGCTTCTTGTGGAGCATGTGGGATTGTGAGAGGCATTTCTGTGTGGCTTTTGCCGCCTGTGGCGCCACTCGCTGGCAGCTGCTCTGGGCGCTGCTATTGATAAGGCAACAGGCCGCCAGACGTGGAGCGATGCCTTCCGCTGCGATTTTCAGCATTGTTGTAGGCAGCTACGTGTGCAAGCTGAAATCCTAATATAGCGTCGATTGTAAACGGATTCGTGTGCTGGACGTGGTCAGAAGTGCTGAAGACGCGACGATAAGATAATTAAATGTGTACAAATATTCACTGCTGTTTTCTATAAGGTACGATGGCGCAGCGGAGCGGGTGTCTGTGCGTTTGTCTGGCAAGGCTGCTCCTAAGTTGAGTGTTGCCAGCTATCTTAAATATGCTCATGCAGTTTACATGGCAGCGCTGCCTACAAGCGCCATTTTTGAATGCGAAATAAAAATAACCACAATTACTTTAATAAATAGCTCAAATTATGCTCTCCTCTTTTTTTTTTTTGCTTAAAATTAATGCATAATAGTAAAATGTAATAGTAGCCGAAAAGGCTGGCTGCAGAACAAAAAGACTTTTTTTTTAACAAAATGTGGCCACCCTTTTTATTTTGAGCAGCGCCTCACAATGCGTAATTTGTTTGTTTAATTCAGTCCTGTGTGCTCATTAAATTTGATTGACATGCAAACAAGAGTTATGGTCGTCAGAAGGATAATATCAACTATTATGTTATTTTTGAAAAACCCTGAAAGTTTAAGTACAAAATATGAACGCAATAGCAATATGTGTACCAACCCCATATCAGTCAGTGTTGCCAATTGCCGCTAAATCCAATTTAAAAAATAGCTGTAAAATAGCTTACTGAGCAGATGTGGTACAAATGTACCTAAATATAATTTGTTCAATGGTACACTGAATATATAAGGCTTGAATTTGGGTCAAATGTAATTGTTACAGATTAAAATTTAATCAAGATTGATACATTTTTATTTATCAACGTTGTGAATAGACACATATGGTACTTTTAATGAAAAAGGTACATTTTATGTGTGCCCATGGGTACAATTCCTTAAGAACATCATGCACTTGTTTGTGTTTAATTAACTTTGCATACATATTTACCGCCTGATCTTATCTTGCTGGGAATAAACAGCTCATCTGGCTGCGGAGTAGTTCTGCTTTAGCAGTTGCCATTGCATGTTGTACGGAATGAACGTGAGCGGAATCTACGCCAGCTATGTGGATAGCAAGCTTATTGGCATCCAGGCAGAGGAGGCGAATTTGTATGTGGTCCGTGCGCTGCGGCATGTCATCCAGGATGTGTTCGCTCAGCTGAGCGCAACGCTGGTAATAACCGTGGCCACCGGCAGCTGGACAATTGGCAAATGGTTTGAGCATGTCCTGGGCGATCTGGTCAGCACCTGGAGCTCTGTCTCAGTGCAGATGCAGCACATCAATCATTCGCCCCATGTGCCCGGACGCAAATACTGCAATCTACTGCTGGTCGATTCCTACGAGGGCTTGCGGTAATAATACCCATCGATATTGTGTAAGGAGGGTATATTGGTTGGGCAGTATTGGGAAGCATCTTGATGAGATCCGTGTTCCTCTGTAAAAGCTAAAGAAATGTATCTTTATCGTTTTTTTGTTACGGTTCAGGATATCTTCTAGTCGGAAAATCTCGACTAGAGCACTCTTATCTGTTACTCTTAAAGCATTATCCATTTTCTTTCCTGCTTATTGCCATCTCGCACAGCTCCACGAAGATTGCCGAGGACAATGCGGGCTACGACGATCACGAGTATTATTTCATATTTTTGCAGGCGCGCGACGCGCTCATTCAACGCGAACTGCAGCTGATACTGGACCACTGCCTGCACCACTACTGGCTGCACTGCAACGTCATGGTGCAGACGGCACAGGTGGAGGTGCTCATCTATACCTATTATCCGTATACGGCGCAACGCTGCCAGGCGGCACAGCCGCTGCTGGTGAATCGATTCGATGGCCAGCGCATGCTGCACGCGCCCATGTTTCCGCACAAGCTGCAGCAGCTGCATCAATGCCCGCTCAGTGTGGTCGTCTGGCATGCGCCGCCCTTTGTGGAGCTCAACTGGGATGCGCGGGCAGCGAAAATGCGCGCCGCCGGCTTTGAGATTCGGCTTATTGAGCATCTGGCGCAGCGTCTCAATTTTAGCCTGCTGCTGCACAATGTCACGCTCGAGACGGTGGCCAGCTATCAGCAGAACTGGGGTAATGGCCGCCCCATGGGTCCCCTAGAGCTGGTGAGTAGCCTGTAGCTCTCCTCCCGGTAACTGGACTGTGCTTCTTCTCAATTTTGTGAAAGGCAATTTTCTTGGGCGTTACTCATCTTAATATACATATGCATTTGGGTCACAGAGTTCCCTGCAAAAGTTAAATTAAGTAGACTTATATATTCTAGTGTGTATCAGCTTTTACATAGAACTATACGACTAGAGTTAAGCTTCTTCCTCTTGTTTTCTGTTGTTTATCGTGGCAAATCGCGGTCTCTGGCGACATTTTTAAATGGCGTCGTTTTCATTTTTACCGTTCACTTAGTATTTTTCGTAGCAAATTTCCTAAAAAATAACTAATTACTTAGGTGTTGAAAATCACGAAAGGAGTTGCGTATTTTCCAACACGATTTTTGCAAGTCTACACTAAACATACAGACTAGGCTTTGGGCTGCAGTAAATTAGTGTAAATAGCGGAGAATTGTGGCAGAAAGGAGTTGCGTATTTTCCAACACGATCTTTGCAAGTCTACACTAAACATACAGACTAGGCTTTGGGCTGCAGAAAATAAGTGCAAATAGTGGAGAATCGTGTCAGAAAGGAGTTGCGTATTTTCCAGCACGATCTTTGCAAGTCTACACACTAGGATCTGGGCTGCAGAAAATTAGAATTATGTCAGATTGCAGTCTATTTTATGCAGCTTTGCAGGCAACTATGAATATCGTTTATATATATATATCCCGTCTTTGGTGTGACTAATCACTTTGCCCTTGCAGCTGATGAAGCAGCGCGCCAATCTGAGCGTGGGCAATTTCCGCAAAACAGCTGGACGCAATCGCATCCTGACCTCGCCCGTGGCCCATTACTATGCGCCCCTGGTGGCCACTGTGGCTGTCGAACACTTTCGCTTTGGCCGCCTCACGCTGCTCCACTTCCCTTTCCAGTGGTGCGTTTGGCGCACGCTGCTCGCCGCGCTGATCCTGCATTGGCTTATCTATATGTGGCGCTGGCGGCACATGGGTCTGCAGGTGCTGGAGCTGCTGCTGGGCGTGACGCTGGTGCGTTTGCCGCGCTGCTGGCTGCAGCGCATCATCTATGCGCATTGGCTCTACGGGAGCATTCCACTGCGCGTGGTGTATCAGTCGTTGCTGTTCCATTTCATAAGGCTGCAGCTGTTTGGAACGCTGCCGCAATCCTTTGAGCAGCTGTTGGAGCGGAATTTTCGAGGCCTGTGCACAACCAACATACTGAGCATGCTGCGCGAGATGCCCCAGGTGGCGCGCAACTATGAGAGCTTTGTGGGCATCGCTTCGCCGTTCGATGAGGCTGTGCTGGATGCACTGCATCGGTCCGGCAACAGTCGCTACTTTGCCATCACCGGCATTGACTCGGCCCATGCCCATCTGAGCGCCACAAACCGTCGGAGCAGCTACCATATACTGACGCAATACGTCAATCTGCAGCAGGTGGTCATCTATATGCCCAAGCACTCGTATTTCCTGGAACAGTTCAACGATCTGCTGCGCCGTCTCGATGCCAGCGGCTTCATTGACTTTTGGCGACGTGCCGCCTTCACCGAGTACAGCCACAGGAACACGCAGCTGCTGCAGCTGGAGCAACAGCAGGAGCAGCAAAACGAACAGCTCAGCCAGCTGGACGGCATCTACACTCTGATGGGCGCTCTCTATGCTCTGGCCATATTGATTTTTGGCGCCGAGCTCCTCTGCCATCGACTGACCAAGCCAGCAACGGTGCACCTGGTCAAGGATTGATTTGAGTTTGGCTTAAACATCTCCAGATACCAAAAAATGTGTAGAAATTCTATAGAAATCAAAATATAATGCACGATGGGTGGACCCGATTTAATAATATCCAAAGTGCTTAGGGTGGGAGTGCACGACTAGGAGATACCCTAAACTCAGTGTCGAATTGCCGTTACAACCGTTATGCTGCATTTAATGTGTGGCTCCAGGGGCTTTTTATTTTCGCGATCTGGCAGCGCTGCATCTAACTACGAGCTAACGTACGTCACGCTTGCAGTTAACGGAATGTGCTGTATTTGCCAGCGCCACATAAAAACCTTGGCAACTGCTTTTAAACGATCTGGCAACTTTGCGAACGTTTTATAGAAACGTTAAGTTGGTTACGCTTGAGTAAAAACGCGGTTTTCGAATTTAACTGTAAATCAATAAAAGCAAAAGTTATTGCGACACCACGAAAAGAAAAAGAATAAAAAAAATGGGAAGCAACAACAAAAAACCAAGTATTGATTATGCGGCAACCACTTATCCAATGTATCATTAATCAAAAACTACTTACAGGCAATTAATGTAAAAGATAAACAAAAGTTGGCGCGTGGCTGCACCTCAGCCAGGTGCCCAGCCCCAGGCAGGGGCCAATGGCGGGCACATTTGGGAATTAAGAGCGGGCACAGAATGAACATATCGCAGCTGTTGCAGTCGTATCATGATCTGTCCGGCGAGCAGATGAACCACATCAATGAGTACGTGGCACAAGCCCTGCTGCACGTGGTCCACAGCTATATAATGAGCGTGACGCCGTCGCTGGTGCTGACCCTCTGCTGCCGTAACAATCACACGTGCAACTTCTACAACGAGATGATGAGCATACTCTTTCGCAGCTGGGGCATAGCTCCGCTCCAGATTGTCATCGTGCAAGAGGGAATGCTGCGCCGGCTAATCCCTGGTCGCAGGCATTACAATCTCATATTCACGGACTCGTATGCGGCCTTTGCAGAGATCGAGGTGGAGTCCTATTCCCGTGACTACAACTACAACGAGCACTACTACATCTTTCTGCAGGCGCGCGATCGTCTGCTGTTCGGCGAGATGCGCCGCATCTTTGCGCACTGCTGGCGCCACCAGCTCATCAATTGCAACGTCCAGGTGCAGAGGGCCAACGGGGAGATCCTCTTGTACACGTATCTGCCGTTTGGTCCGCAGAGCTGTGCTGATATGAGTCCACAGCTGATCAATCGCTACAATGGCAGCCACATGCTCCATCCGCAGATCTTCCCCCGCAAACTGGGCAACTTCTTTGGCTGCCCTCTTCGTGCCGCACTCTGGCATATGCCGCCGTTCCTCTAGCTGGAGGCGACAGCGGGATCCGATGCGCGCATCGTTGGCGGCCTCGAGGGGCGCCTCTTGCAAACGCTCATCCAGAGACTCAACCTGACCATCCAGGTGCGCGAGCCACCGCCTGGACCGGGCCTGTTGGGCAATAGAATGCTGCAAATGGTGAGTGACATGTTGTCTACTCCTCCACCCAAATGACTATCTTCTCTTTGTTCTGTTGGCAGTTGCAACGTGGCGAGGCGGATCTGTGTGTGGGCGGCATTCGTCAGACGGTGGCACACAGCCTGCTGGCCACATCGACCCACAACTATCATCAGACGAGCCTCCGGTTTGGCGTTTTGGGCATCACATATGAGCTGAGCTCCCTGGACATTCTGCTCTATCCATACCCAACTACGATTTGGCTGGCCATTGGCCTTGTGCTCGCACTTTCGCTGCTGCTGCACCTGGCAATGGACCGACTGCTGCTGCCTAGGGAGCAGGGCTCCGTCTGGCTCAACCTGGTGCTGATCTTCGTGGGCATGCCCATGCTGCAGACGCCGCGTTCGATCGCCAAGCATGTGCACTGCATCATGTTGATGCTCTACACATTACTCATACGCACCATATACCAGGGGCTGCTTTACCATCTGATACGGACGCAGCAGCTGAATCGGCTGCCGCAGTCCATCGAGGAGCTGGTGGCCCAGAATTACACAGTGGTACTCTCGGCTGGCATTCACGATGTGCTCGCCGAGATACCCACCGTGCAGCAGATGCGATTCCGCATGCTCGATGGCGACGGCACCCTGCTGCAGCCCCTGCATTACCTAGCGGAGCGTCCACGGGACAAACGGCAGGTGGCCGCCACTGTGCTCGAAATCTTCCTGATGTACAATCGCTTGGGTGCACAAGCTCAGCAGCAGCAGGCGGGGAATCATTTCGAGCTAATACCACAGGATGTGATCGACGTGCAGCTGACCATGTACCTCAGGAAGCACTCCTTTCTGATCGATGCGCTCAACGAGGAGATCATGTGGATGCGCTCCGTGGGACTGCTGGCCATTTGGGCACGCTGGGAGCTGGACGAAAATAACTTGAGAGCTCTGCAGTCGAGCAGCTACCGAATGCTGGGCCTGCAAGAGCTGCATGTGATATTTGTCCTGCTTCTAATCGGACTGCTGGTAAGCTCGCTTCTCTTTTGCCTTGAGCTACTTTCTTTGCGCTCTGCGCGACTCCAGCGCTTATTTCTATCAAAATAAAAAATTGCAAATTGTCAGATTGCTGGACTTTCCGTGGCATTGCAATTTGAATTTTTGTAAATTGCGATAGATGGCCACACTGAACGATGCTTAAAATCAGGCAGTGTTGCCATATGCGATCAATTTACTGAAAACCAAAACTTGTTTACAGATGGTGACAATTGGTCACACGGTAAATGGCCACACTGAACAATATTTAAAATCAGGCAGTTTAACACAAATGAAAGCTAATCAAGTGTTGCCATATGCGATAAATTTACTAAAAACCAAAACTTGCTTACAGATGGTGACAATTGGTCACACTGTGTATATAAATGATACAAAACAAGAACAGAACATTTTAAACGCAACGGGTATATGAAAAAAAATAATCGTATTTTTAAAAGTTGCCCAGGACGAATGGTTCATCAACCTGTTGTTTGCGTAAATAGCGTTTTAGTTTCTTAACACTTAGCCGTGAACTCGCCGAGTACTTCAGCAATATGGTCTCAATTGTCGTAAGCTTATTCCGCAACAGCACGATCTGACGGCGTACGTCCCAAATATGATCGTCCTTCTCGTCCTCAGAGTCCGAATCCGATGGCAATGCGACACAGCCACTCTCCTCACAATAAGCACGGACCACGGACTGCCCGACTTTCAAAACAGCTAAGGACGACGCCAAGTGCCTGGGTTCATCTATCGATGGATCGGGCTTTGACGGAAGCGTTTCCTCATCAGCCTGTGAAGATTCCGCAGCTATTTCTTGTGATTGTGGCGGGTTTGGATTATTACCAGCACGCTCTGATGGCGGGTCAGCAAGAGGAGGCTCTGCTTCCGAATGAAAAGGTTCCTCTGCTGATTCCGGCGCTTTATTTCGGGATGTCGACGGAATGGGCTTATTACTAACACGCTCTGATGGCGGGTCAGGAAGTGGCTCTGGTTCTGACCGAAGCGTTTCCTGATAAGCCCTTCGACCTATTTCTGTGGATGTCGACGCGTTGGGCTTATTGCTTAAGCGCTGTTCTGGTGGATCAGGAAGAGGCTCTGCTTCCCACTGACGTTGTGCATCATCAGCTTGCGGTAATTCCTCAGCTGTTTCTTGGATTGGTTTGATATTAGCACGCTGCGTGAGTGGGTCAGGAAGGCTCTCAAAATCAGCCTGTGTGGATTTCAGAGCTATTTCTCGGGTTGTCGACGGAATCGATGGATCAGGAAATGGATTTCTTTTCGCCTGAAGTGGTTCATGACTAGCTTCGCATGTCGTCGAGATTGGCTTGGAAATAAGACGTTGAGGCAGTACGGCAGGATGTGGCTCCGGTGTTGACTCACGCTCGGAGCCAGCCTGTGGTAGATCCGGAGGAACTGTTTTAGCCGGCGACTGTATACGCTTAACAATAGCACGCTTTGAAGCTACGGCAGTGATGGGCTTCGGCGTCGGCTCAACTGGTTTACGATAAGGGTCGCACGGTTCCGGAACTATTGATCGGCCCGGCGACTGAATTCGTTTATAAATAACACGCTTTAAAGGCTCCAGTGTCGATTCCTTGACTGGTTCAGTGGAAAGTCTAGCTAGTTCACAAATTGGTTTCACTGATTTTCCGACAGAAGCTGGATCCCATTCCGACTGCCGTGGTTCATAACTAGCCTTTGATGGTTTTGGAGCGACTTCTTGGATTGGCTTAGAGTTAAGACGTCGAGATGGTAGGGCAGCAAGTGGTTCTGTTTCTGTTTGAACTGGGTCATGAACAGTCTGTGATTCCGGAACTATTTCCGGAACTATACGCCGAGCTGGTACGGTCGAAAGTGGCTCTGTTGCGGATTGAAGGGCTTCCTGATCGGTTTGTGATGTTTTCTGAGCTACTTTGGCTGCGGACTGAATTCGTTTATCCTTAACACGCTTTAATGGTACGGATGTGGAATGTGCGTCCGGTAGTTCCGGCTCTATGTGCCGGGCTGGCTCATAGCGAGCCTCTGGTGTTTGCGAGGGGACAGTTTTAGCTGGCGACTGAACTCGTTTATAATTAACACGCTTTGAAGTTGGACCAGGCATCGACTCTGAACCTCGAGCTTGTGTTGGTTCCGGGGCTGTTTCTCGATTATGATTAACGCCCTTTAAAGGTACGGACGAGAGTTGCTCCGGTGTCGTCTCAAGAGGTTCGAACCAAGCCTGCAGTGATTCCGGGGCTTTTTCACGAGCTGCGGACCGACTTGATTTATGCTTAACACGTTTCAATAGTTCAGGCTGTGGCTCCGGTGGAATTTCCCGGGCTGCCTCATAACCGGCCAGTGGTTCTTCCGGGGCAACAGTTTTAGCCGGCGACTGTACTCGTTTATAATTAACTCGCCTGGCTGGCACGGGAGTCACCGACTCCGGTGTCAACTCACAGAATTGACAACAAGATTCGAACGGTTCCGGGCCACTTTCCTGGACTGGCAACTGAATTCGTTGATAGTTAACAGACTTATAATTAATTTGCTTCGATACGGTCGAAGGTACCGTCTCCGGGTCAGGATCCTCCGGCGACTTATTTTTCTTATAGCTAACACAAGCTGATGGTACGGAAGAAAGTGGCTCCGCTGTCGTCTCAAGTGGTTCAAACCAAGCGCGAAGTGTTTCCGGAGCTGCTGAAGGCTTTGGCTTATGGCCCACACGCACTGTTGGATGCGGTTCCAGCTTCGATTCCGGGTTAGCTAAATCAGTTGTCGACCGGCTTTGTTTATAGTTGGTTTGTTCTGGGTCAGGCTCGAGTGGTTCCGGCGATATGGATTTGTCTGGCGACTGAGCTCGTCTATAGTTAACACGTTTCAATGGCGACTCGAGTGGTTCGAACCAAGCGTCCAGTGGTTCCAGAGCAGGCGACTGGTTCCGTTTATAGCTAGCGCGCTTCGATGGCACGGCGGATATTCGCTCCGGCGTCGAGTGAAGTGATTCGTTAGCAGCTTGTATTGGTTCCGGAGGAAGTTGTTTGGCTGTCGAATGGGAACGTTTGTAGCTCGGGCGCTTTGATGGCACGGCAGGATGTGGCTCCGGGTTGGATGAATCCGGGTCTGATTCCGGGTCTGTTTCTCGGCCTGGCGACTGGATTCGTTTAGGATAACCTTGTTTTAATGGAACGCTGGGCAGCGACTCTGGTGTCGACTGGCGTGATTCGTCCGATCGATCTGGCTGCGATGGGACTGATTCGCCTGGTTCATTTGAAGGATTAACTGGCTCACAAATTGTTTTGACTGATTTACCGGCTGACTGGGCAGATTTTCGACCGAGTATGGACTGCGTCGATCCTTTGGCTTTGGCTTTGGACTTGTCCGGCATTGGGTTCAGTTTCCAGGACGCAAGATTATCCGGCTTCACCGAAATGCCGATTAGGCTGTGTGCGCGGGGCACCAGCTCCACTGGCTTCCGCGGATGCACAGAGGCGACTATTGTGCTGCTTTGTCGTAAATAGGCGGCATAATCGAAACGTCTTTCGGCTTCGACGATTTTTTTAAGTCCGATCGGTTTACCGCGGCGCTCCTTGCTGGCATCGTAGGCGCGGCCATTGTGGTTCATCTTGTGGAATTTGTGCAGCCAATTGAGGAACTCATAATGGCCGCGACCTTTGGCCAGCTCCCGGTTCGGCACATCCTTGCGGATGTTGAGCTTGGCAAAGGTGTTGCGCAGCAGCTTAAAATTGGCCTCAATCTCGTAGCTGGCGTTCGTGTACAGATAGACCTTGGTCAGCGATATTTCAGCTGGGAACAGCTTGTGCACAAATTGGCAATAAACGCCGCCCGTCTTTAGCTCGGACAGCTCCCGCACGTCGCACTGCATCTCCGCGTTCACCCAGTTAAGCAGCTCGCGCACCGAGCAAGTGTCCTTCTTCATCACCATCACGTTCTTCACGAACTGCTTTGAGCCCGACTTGTGCGTTAGCGCCATTTTACTGAAATAAAAACAAATATATACCATTTGAACTAATTTATACTCGAGCAAATTGCTTTCAATCCCATGCGTAGTCGCGCTGGCCAATCAGAAACGGGCAAGAAAAGCGTTAAGCCTTAGAGAAATACCAAATAAATACCAGATACTAGAAAAATATGCTAAGTCTGGCCGGACTCTAAATGCAATATGGCCACATTATGGCCGTTATTCAAAAGCCCTAAGGAATAAAACGATTAATGAGATCGGTTACACGAAGGGCGATTCTTTTTGGATTTGCATACTATATTTACTTTCAAATAATTTGGATTAGCTACCTGTAGCCTAACCCTGGTGTATAAATTGATTCAATGCGATGCGTAGTCGCGCTGGCCAATCAGAAACTGGCAAGAAAAACGTTAAGCCTTAGAGAAATACCAGAAAAAATACCAGATACTAGAAAAATATGCTGAGGCTGGCCGGACTATAAATGCAATATGGCCACATTATGACCGTTATTCAAAAGCCCTAAACGATTAATGAGATCGGTTACACGACGGGCGATTCTTTTTGGATTTGCTTACTAGATTTACTTTCAAATATATATCCCTAATTTCTACTGCGCGTATATAGTTTTATAAATGGAATTTAGACTTGTTTTCTCTAAGAAATCGAACAAAGGCTTTACTTTTGTTGGATTTCAGTCAATAAATCGCTGCAAATGTGGGCTTTCTCTTGAGCATATGCATTCGTAGCTTAAGATAGAGTTGAGATTAGCCGCCACGAAAGCCAATTTCAAAGCTCTAAGCCCATCGCTTGTACATATGAGAGATAAAGACTATATGCATTATCTACCCACAGTTTTTTAAAGGAACTTACTTAGTTTGATTTTGCTGCTCTTTCTAAACACTGTAGGAAAAACAAAGAAAGAAACCTTTAAGCATATAAAATAGTTAATGAACTAACGTACCATTATACTAACCCTTTGCCAAACTCAAAATGCTTGCGAGAACCTTCTTTTACACGGCCAAGTCTTCGTTCTGGCTTTTGTTTTGAAAACGCGTTAAAAGGAAAGAGTATTAAATTTAATATTCAACATGATTTCTAAAAATTTGAACACTTACATTTATATTTATTTATATTTTTCAAATATTCGATGCTGCCGCCTTTGTTCAGAGTTTGGATGACGCAAATTGCTTTATAAATTTTTTTATTAGATGCGTCGTCCATTCGACAAACTGACTTGGGTGTAAGTACAGTTACGCACAACATTTTTTGATAATGAGCGTAGCTTAAAGTATGTAAACACTTACACGAATGTCAGTACTAACGGTATATCAATGATCTTTTTGCAAATTTTTGAATAGCTGCCTTTCGACGGGATCGATCGATGAGGTCCCAAATACTGTACAGAAATTAAAGAGATGCCTTCTTTCAATGCGTTTGCATGTTTTTGTATTACAAGAACCCAATCTTTCTAATAAATAATATATATATATATTATGTATAGTACTTACCTTTAGGCCCAAATCGGAATTCTGGTACTAGATCCGAAGAATCTTTTCCTTCACATTTCGCTAGAAAGAGAAAGAGTATTAAATATTTCCTTGCACTATGTAATAACAGTTATTTGAATTTTTGAGGTTATGTACGTAAACACACTTACGTTTAGGACAGACTGTACCTTAAAGGCATTTTATCCAACATTGAATATCTTCCATATTCTGATGGAGAGCTGTACGAATTTTTTTTGCTTCCTGCTGGCTGTACTTAAAGACAGGGGGGGGGGGGGGGGGGGGAGTGAAAGGGATGGCTTGTGTCTACAATTACTAGCAATATTATTTGAGGCTATGAAAATATTGTAAACTTACTCTGAAGTCAGTAAAGATCGTATTAAAGTGACTTTTGCCGAACGTGTACTATAATTGCACTTGCCTGTTAGGGGCTTAATTTAAAGATATCTATAGGTATTTCTATGTTGGGTATCGGGATCTAATGGATGCAATTTAACCAAACACTATACGAAAACGAATATAAAGACAACTTTATAATGCGCTCCTCTTCAATTTATTTGTTTTGGACGTGAAACATTGGCAGATGCTTGAAGACTGAGTATTATTCGCTTCCCGATGTGCTTAAGACAACTCCTATATAATTAATGACTCGCCGCCTACTGCCCCCTTTTTTTTTATTTTTTAATTTTTATGAGAATTAAGCGATAATATTCGACAAATGCAGTGCTGTACAGCGACTGATTGCGTTAGCTTATGGCCTTACACAACACTGACACCGGAAACAGACATACACAAAAACTTATGTAACGTCGTCTTCCCAATTTAGTCTGTATTAGTATGGATTTGTTCCTGTTGGAAAAGCGCTCGGCTAACTTTTTAGCAGAACATGCAATAATAGTCGACGATATTCGACAAATACATTTGCAGTGCTGTACAGCGACTGATTACGTTAGCTTTTGACGCTACCCAACACTGACACTGGGAATATACACACACACACAAAAGCTTGTGAGCAGAACAGTCCCCGAATATGTAGTCTGTATAGTCGTATAGATTTGTTCTTTATCTTCCCCGAATCCATTAAAAAACATATTATGGGAATGTGAACTTATCTATCAGGCGGTGGATATAGGATATTAGACACGGAGCTGTGCTGTTTTGGGCTTTGCTTCGGCCACACAATCGCACAGCAATTAGTTTAAGTAATAAACACAGATTTCTAAATGCATTAAATTAAATTACCCAATATTATCGAGGGACGTGAAACATTAGGGGGGGAGGGGGGAGGAGTCGGACTGGACTATATTTAAGGTATTATATTCAAGATTTTTACAAACAGTCAAATCTCGAGAACTGTGAGAGCTTGTTGCAGCAAACTTGGAATGTGGGTTCAGACATGTTATGTTTCGATAAAAAATAACTTAATTTTTGGATGCCTGACCCACGTAATACCCACAAGGCAGAAGAAGTAGTTCTTCAAGCTAGAGCTTTGCGCTTGGGTATATACCCAGTTTTGCATGCCAAATGCAAGCTCTACAAATTTCATTAAGATCGGACTATAAGGTACGAAGTTACGACAGGACGGACGCCTCATAGAACGAGGCAAAGGTCAAGCTTGGAAGGGAGGGAGGGGAGTGGGGGTGTGTGACTAGGCTAGCCTCCCAGCTGAGTTGCAAGTGCATTAATGCAGGATTTCTCCAGGGTGCCGGGCCACAATCGATATGCAATCAAAATTCAATTGCAATATAAAGCGCAAGCCTCGACTGGAGTTCAGTTCGGAATGGAGCTACACGCTGGACACTGGCTGCTGCTGCTCGGACTGTGCCTTGACCGAGCGCTGACCTGGCCGCCGCTGGAGCTGGAGCTGGAGCGCGAGCAGGCGCCAGTTGTTGACAAGTTATCAAACGTGCTGCAGGCGATATTGAATGCGAGCTGCTCGGCGCACAATCTGAGCATCTCGGTGAGCAGCGTCTATCGGGAGCAACTGCCGCCGACGCAGCGGCATCTGGTGGAGCGCGTGCTGGAACGTAGCCGGCGGCAGGCGCAATTAGTGCCCGTTGTGCTGGACAGGCAGCTGCAGCCGGAGCTCAGCCTGCGCGTTCAGCTGCTGCTCTTCTTTGTGCTGGACGCGCAGCAGCTGATCGCCGCCGCGGAACGCAATCCGCGCGTGAGCGTGACCCACAAGTACAAGTATCTAATCGTGCTGCTGGCCATGCGAAAGGCGAAAGCCTGGCAGCGAACGCAGATGCGCCAGATCTTTGGCTATCTGCTGCGGCAGCGCTACAATGTGGATGTGCTGCTGCTCCGTGTGAAGCTGGCGCCGGGCGGCAGCACCGTGGCCAGCTATAGCTATGCGCCGTATGCCTCGGCACGGCGCTGCGACTCGACGGAGCCGCTGGCCTGGCCGCTGGGCCAGGCGCGGCTGGAGCAGCTGTATCCAAGCAACAAGCTGGCCAATCTGCACGGCTGTCCGCTGCGCGTCATTGTCTGGCAGATCCTGCCGTATATGGAGCTGCATGGCAATGGGCGCATTTCCGGCTTGGACGCGGACATACTGCAGCTGCTGGCGGCGCGGCTCAACTTCAGCCTGGCGCTGCTGGCGAACGAGCCGCCGCAGCTGATAGGCGGCGCCAGCTATATGAATGGCAGCATGACCGGCGCCTTTCGCATGCTGCTGGAGCAGCGCGCCAATCTGACGCTGGGCTTTACCGCCTGCCTGGCCGCTCGCTATAAGTATCTGGCCAGCACGCTGCCCTATGGCCAGGTGGAGTATGTCTTGGTGCTGCGCCGGGCGCGTCCGTTTAGCCTGTACGAGATTATGCTGTTGCCCTTTGAACGCTCCGTTTGGCTGTTGCTGTTCGTGCTGGCTGCAGTGCGTCCGTGGTGCCGGCTGCCGGCGCAGCTGCAGCTGGCCTGGGTGCTCTTCCTCTTTCTGCTGCGCATCAGCTACGAGAGCTGCGTTTTTGTGCTCGTGCACAATGCGCCGCGCCGCTCGCTACCGCACAGCCTGGAGCAGGCCCTGCAGCTGGACTATAGCTTCATTGTCGACCATGCCACGTATCGGATGACAGAGCTGCTGCCGGCTCTGAAGGCGCGCTCGCGCATCCTGCCCGGCCAGCCGGTGGACATGTTCGAGCAGCTGCTGGCCCAGCCGCCGGACAAGCGGGTCGCCGCCATCAGCACGCCGCATTTTCTGGCCCACTATCTGAGCGGGCGGCGCGAGCAGCAGCCGCTGTTCGTTCTCGCCAGCCGCAAGATCTTGGACAACATGGCCTGTGTGCACTTTCCGCTCGGCTCCTATCTGACCGCCACCGTCGACCGGGTGCTCTTCAATATGCGCAGCTCCGGCATCAATCAGCACATCGCCAATCGCCTCACCACCATTGTCGCCCGGCTGCACCACAGGCGGGGCACCGCCTCCTCCTCCTCCTCCTCCATATCCACGGATCATGCGGCACGGTATAAGGAGTCCATGCGTTTCATCTATGCCGCTCTTAATTGTCTGCTCATCGCCGAATCCCTCACGCTTGCCATATTCGGCTTGGAGCTGCTCAGCCTGCGCCTGCCCTGGCTCGCCAGGCTTTTCCGGCGTCTCTAGGCAGCTGGGATTTCGTTTCAAAGCTGGAATATATCAAAAGGAATATTTAATTTATATTAATTAATGCAAACTATTTAATATATTTACCAGCTGCTGTAGCCCGGCCTTGTCCGGCGCAAGTCTTTTGCTTCAAATGTTTGAAAACGATTTTCCACGCTTTTTCCGCACGTGAAAATTTGAACTTCGACAAGTTGAAATCTACAAGTTAACTTTAAGCAATAAGTGTAAAGTATTTCTTGTCCGAATTCACAACTATTTCAATTCTTTACATTTAAATATAATAATGAACAATTGTTTTTTCTCATAGGATAATGTTACAGATATTTTCAAATATTCTCTTTTGCTAAAGCTTAAATTTAACGCCTTAAGCCTTGAAGTAGATATTTAATATGCTAATAAGATACATATTATTGTCGATATTATATATATTCCATATCAGAAATATATATTATAATTGCAAAGCCAAAAAACCAATTGTTAAAGGCTTCTACAGCTACTGGAGGCTATATATAAGCTATACGATCAACATTTCAATAATTCTATAAGATATTTAAGTATTGATTCAACAGGAAATAATAGGAGAAAGATATCTTAAAGAACATTAAATTGTTTTAGCAAATCAATCAAGCTTAGGCGAAGATTTAGCTCACAAGTAAAAGGTGAAGGTCGCGATCGTGTATAACATATTTTAAATAACAAATAGGTTTTCTTATAGAACAATTTATGAAGAATTTATGCACTTGATCGGGTTCAAGGAAGCCCCCACAGCAAGTGCTCACAAATGTTATATAGAAGCTTATGTGGATAAGGACAAAGCGAGCCAGAATAACTAGGCAATAAATAAATTCTACCTTAGTCTCACTTACACTGTGGTTAGGTAACAAAGTAGTAAGAAATGGGTTTCGACTAGATTTTAGACCACATAACGATTGGCCGCATTCATGAGCCGCCGTAGACGTTGTCGCTGTGGCTGAGCGGCGCGCAGTTCGAGCATGAACACGATGCTGGCGAACAGATGCATTAGCCCCAAGCTGGCAAAGAGGCCGGCGAGCAGCCAGAGGCTAAGTTTGGTTGGTGCACGGCTGCGCTGAGCGGCCATATGCTCGATCCGGTCGAGGTACATGCGACGATAGCGATGCACCAGGCCGGAGGACATCATGTTGATCAGCAGCTTGTTGATGCGCTGCTTCAGATACGAATGTGGACGCATATAAAACGCCAGCGGGGCGGTCAGCAGGGGATAGGGCAGCATAGTGAGACGTTGCTTTTCGATACCGGAGTCCATGTCGAATCTGGATACGGTCGGCTGCAGCACCGGCACCACAAATTGCGCCTCGTTGTCATCGCGTAGCCGGCGAAGCCAATTCTCCAGGCCAGACACCACAACGATACGCTGCCGTGGCACAATGTCCTTGAACACCGGCTGCAGTGCGGGCAGCATATGGAACGCATACTTCCGCTCCAGCACCTCGGACAGCGAGCGCAACGGTGTACGCACCCGCCCATCCTGCAGCAGAATGTACAGCTCGCCCGTGTAAGCGGCGCGCAGCACCAGAGTCTGAAGCAGCCAGAGTGCGAGCAAATATCGGGCGAAATTGCGACGCGGCGGATGCAAATGCAGGCCGCCGAGCAGTGTGCTCCACAGCTCCGTGCCGGGCAGCCGATTGTTATCGCCAAGCACAAAGCGACGCAATCGCGGACCGCTGAGCAACTGCAGCCAGGCGATCAGGCCCAGGCCCAGCAGCACGCACGTCAACAGGCACAGCCAGGTGATGTAGCCCAGCGGCTTGGTTAGGCGCTGCAGCGGCGACAGCGGATAGCCGCCGGGTATGCAGAGCACTATCGGAAAGCTGGTGTACGAGATGCTCGGCAGCATGTACGTGGCGCGCTCCATGTTGTACATAAACGAGACGAAGGTTATGTTCGCCACGCCGTCAACGATCTGCAAGGAGAGCAGGTTAATCAGTTGAAGATCGATTTAAGCTACCGATAAAGTTGCCTCAAGCTTTATATTGCCCACTGTACAGAGATTGACTCACCATTTTCATGGCGCCCGTGATGGTGCCATTGGGAAGGACTTCGCCTCGATTGTTATTTGGCTCCTTAACGATTTTGATGCCAAAGTTCATGCGCTCCGCCAGCAGGCGATAGATCATGCCCTCGATGCCATGCATGCGCTGGGCATCGGGCAGGCTGGCGTCATTGTCATTGAAGAAGACAAAGGGGCGACTCTCAAAGGTGACGGTGACCAGCTGGCAGCCATGCATGTCATGCAGCTTGGAGTCAAAGAATTGAACGCTGTTCTCCACATGGATTATGGGCGGTGCGCCGAGACCGCCCTGAAAGGTGGCATAGTGCACCGGCTCCGAGGACTGACAGCGATGCGGCCGATATGGATAATAATTGTAGACTCGCACGGTGCCAGTCTGACGCCCCACCAGCAGCACATTCACATTGATCACATAGATGGCGAGCAGACGTTGAAAGATTGCGCCAATGGTGCGCAGACGTCCCAACTCCTGGCCCGTGTACACAATGCAATAGAAGCCGTTGCGCTTAAAGAAGCTGTCCGGCTGCAACAGATGCCGCTCCAGACGCATATAGGCGCGCCAGCTGTCCAGCAGCAATATGGCCGTTTCGCGGCCCACAAAGCCGCTGGCCAGGCCAGTCTGCTGTGCCGTGCCCGCCGGCGGCTCGTCGTCATCGATGCGTTCGTGCTCCAGCAGAAACTTGATGCGCCCGGCGCCCGATGCCAAACACAGCACAGAATCAATCAGATCGTTGTGGAGAGCGCGACTTGAGTCGCGCGTGGCAAAGTGCATAATGGACAACGGTTTGCTGGAGTCGCTAGCATAGTGACTGTTTATCGTCCAGACGACGGCGTACATCAGTGTTATGTTATAAATCGCCTGCACCGATGCGCTGCTCAACATGTTGGGGCAAGTGAAGAGTCGTCCAGTAACTGCTGAGCGCGGCAATTGCCGAAGCTTTTAGCGGTTGCATGTGAGCTTGCGGCTTATCGCGGCTCGTTATCTGGCAAATTGTATTTAAATGGATGCGCCATCAGTTAACAAGTCGTTCGTTACATTGCCTGCCGCATGCCACATGCCACATCTGCGAAAAAAAAAAAACAATATCTATATCGTTCATTTTATAAATCAAGTTAATTTTGCAAACGGCTTGTTGGCTTTGAACTGCCGTTGCCAGTGTGACCAATATACGTTTTTGCTAGCGTTAACCAAATTTGTTAGCAGAAGTGACCACTAGAAGCTGGGCAGACATTTGGCTTTTTTGCAAGTGATCATTGAATAGTATTCAAATAGATGCCACATGCCACGAGGCGCTTGCCAAATCGGTATAAATTAAAAATATTTCAGAGCACAACTGTTCAAATATGTTGATTTTGCGAACTGCTCGTTAACTTTGAATTGCGGCTGCCGGTGTGACCATCGTGTGTTTTCGCCTGTTCTTACAGCATACGCAAGTCAGTGTGACCCCAAAATGCAGCACAGTAAATGGCGAATAAGCATTTTAATTGGTTTTAGTTTTTGCTTTTTATCTTGAAATGAGTAATGGACAAAGAAATTGCAACAGATGCAGCAACAGCTCGTGTCGCAACACAATTTACAGATCGCTGACCGTATTTAATGTGTTCATTTACAATACAAACAGCTATTTGCTAAACACTTTTTGCTGACCTAAGCAGCCACCCGCAAATTATTAAAAAAAAAAGAAGAAAATATGATAATACATGTTCCAACATATTTCGTGTAATATTTTATTCTTATTTTGTACAACAGTCGACGTTGGAGTTGAAAGTCCATTGCAGAGCTTAGCTCAGCATTGATGCACCTCGCTGGCTTTGGCGCGGTGACACACATTCGCGATAAGGCGGTCTACGCTGCGAGAATTTTTTGGTCATTCAAAATGGCAGACACTCATTTGTTGGAGATGGACCACGAATACCGCAATCACGATGATGCGTATTGAAATCAAATATTTTAAATGTTACAACATATATTACAGTATATAAAGTTCTTATTCTTATTGTCTTTATTTATGTTTGATTTAGTGAATGAAAACGTTTAAGAAGACACATATAGACTCCAATCATAAATAATCATGTTTAAAATAAACGACAAGATCGTATATTGAGAGTCACGTTAATAATTAAAATTTAAACGGTGTAACAGCCCTAACTAGTTTCAAGCACAAACTACTAATAACTCAAAATAGAAGGAATGTTTGGTAATAATTGTGCTGGAATATATGAGTATGTAAATTGCATTTTCGTGCTTCTCGCGGACACCTAGTGTCATCTCTATGGACAATTTGATATGAGCACGTAGCGGCTGCTGTTCAAAATAAAAATGTAATATGTAGGGTCACACTTTTGGAAACGGTTATAAGACAAAAGAGACAAAGCGGAAAAGAAGTTGTGCTTAGCTTCCGGATTGTCGCGAATCGTAGACAAAACAATGCCAAAACGCAGATAAGACGAAAGAATTGGAAACTATGTGGAACTATGGATTTGTTTTCAGTGCAACATTTTGCACTGATTCCATGAAAAATTGCTCATCAGCAAATTGTTAAGTCAAGGTTTTTTTGTTGTTGTGTTTTTTTTTTATATATTTATTGTGCTGCGCCGGCTGCTGCAGCAGCTGCAGTCTGTACTGGCCATTTCTTTAATTTCTTTTACTTTTACTGACCTGTACCCATCGAAAAAGGGTGAAATATGGGTAGATTGGTTATGGACAAATGGGCGAGGCAACTGTTTAGGCTTTTTGCTTAAGTGTGTACATACATATAATGTATATTAAATTATTAGCCATATCCTGCAACACTTTTTTTTTTAGTATTTTTTTTTGTATTTTATTTTTATAAAGCACACCATAATATGGAAAGGTATTTTTAGTTATATTTAATTTTTTGTTATATGTATACACTGAAAATTCGTTAACAATTGGAAATTGCGGCGGTTATTTCATATTGAGAGATATACATACCCTAGCTAAAGTCTTGCGTCGTTGATTATAGGGTATTGGCCAGTCGATCAGTCTTAACTGGAGCACTTTTGGTTGCTGTTAGTTGGCTTTTTGTGGCACACACACGGAAACGAAATTAAAATGCAATGTCAATTTTTTGGTGTCACCGCGGCAGGGCGTTGCGGGACGGGGCGTGGCCGCTCAACTGACAGTGCGTGCAAATTGCAGCGCAGCTCTTTGGCACGATTCGGCGGCGTCGACACTTTTGCGAACAGTGGTGCCGCTGCCGCTGCTGCTGCCGCCGCCGCCGCCACCGCTGGCAGAGTTCTATATGGGCCAGCGTCTGAGCGCTTGAAGCGTCAGTCGCCGTTCGACGCTCAACAAACGGCCAGTTCCAGCGAAAGCGCTAGAGAATAGTGATAAAGGGTATATACATATAGATATATATTAAGGATGAGATTAATTTGTGTAACGCTGCTGCTGCTTGGCGGCGCACTGTGCAGCGCCCAGGATGAGTCGTCGGGTGCCAGCGTCGTCAGCGGCGCGGAGGCAGCTGCTGCCGTGGATAGCCTGACGCCTGGCAATGCCAATGACACCGCCGATGAGAGACCGCGGATACCCACCCAGGAAGAGGTGAGCATCAATAGAGGCGAGCCGAGCTCTGCCTGCCTCAATAGCTAATCCTTTGCCTCTCTGGCATTTCCGTCTGTAGTTACTTGCCCAGATGCCGCCCCTGCAGCCCCTGAACAGTGGCATACCCTCACTGGATGCGTTCTATTTGATGTTTCCGGCGCTGAGCAGCCTCCTCCGCTGGGGCAGCCTCTTTCCGGCGCAGTCGCTGCTCGGTGCCATGCCGGACACACTGCAGCCGGCCGCTTCGAAGGTGGTGCTCGTGCTGGCGGACGAAGCGAATGGACACAAGTCGCGTGTAACGCGTCAGGATGCAACCGCACAGCCGGCGCCAGCTCCAGCGGCACCAACAGCGATGAACGGACCCGCGATGCTGCAGCAAATGCAACAGATGCTTGGCCAGATGCCGCCTCCGAATCTGGGCCAGATGTTGCCACAAGTGCCCGCCGGCTGGCTGCCGGATGGCTTTACGCTAGGCCAAATGCCGCCGCTGCCGGATAACTTTAATCTGGGTCAAATGCCGCCACTGCCGGATGGCTTCAATCTTGGCCAAATGGCGCCCGTTATGCCCAACTTTGGTCTGCGTCCGCTGGAGAGCCTGCTCGGCCAGGCGCCAGCCGCGCCCGCCACCACAGCTGCGCCGCCGGCAGCCAAGCCAGCTAGCGAGTCGGAGCCGGCGCCAGCGCCAGCGGTGGGTCAGGCGCCGCCGGCGGCAGGTGCCGGATTTGGTGCTCTCTTCGATGGCAGCAACAATCTGCTGGGCCAGGCCTTTAGTGGCATGCCCGCAGCGCCCACGCCGGACGCCTTCATGGCTGGCCTGCGCCAGTTCTGGCCGGGCGCAGCGCCGCCGACTGGCGACAGAAGCGCCCAGGCCTCCGATATATCGGAGGTGCGCGTCAAGCCGGACAACCAGGATACGATCGGCTATCGGGCACCGCAGCAGGCGCACGCACAGCTCGCTCAAATGAAGATCAAGTCAGCGCTGCAGCTGGAGCAGGAGAAGCAGCGCGTGCCGTTGCTCTGGTTCCGCATGCCCAGCTCCGAGTCGCAACAGACCAAGTCCACGGAACGTGCACAGATCGAGTCCAAGCTGCAGGCCTTTGAGCAGCAGGTAATCGCCGAGCTGCAGCAGCTCCAGCAGATCGAGCGGCTGGCGCGCGAGATGCGCGCGAATGCCCAGGGTGAAACGCCCGCCTACAAGCTGCGCTATCCGCTGAGCCGCACGCCTGTCCACAAGATCACCCGGGCGGACATTGAGCGCGCCCTGCGCGACGACTATGTGCGCCGGCTGTTGCAGAAGGAGGCGCAGCGCAAGACGAACTTCAAGCGGCAGACGCAGCAGCCGGAGCAGCTGCTCACCAAGGAGGACATCGTCAAGGTGATGGCCTATGCCTATCGCATGGCCAACGAAAATGCCGAACGCAAGGCCAAGGAAGAGCAGTGGGAGCTCCAGCAGCAACAGCGTCAGTGGACGGAGGATCAGGCTAAGACGCAGCAGCAGCAACAGCAGGCAAAGGATCAGCAGAATGACATGATGATGCGCCAGTGGACGGAGGATAAGGCCAAGGCGCAGCAGCAGATGATGCAACAGCAGCCGAATCCCATGATGATGCGTCAGTGGACCGAGGAACAGATCAAGGCCCATCAGCAGGCAAGGGATCGACAGAATTCCATGATGATGCGCCAGTGGACGGAGGATCAGGCCAAGGCCCAGCAGCAGAATACCATGATGATGCAGCAACAGAATCCCATGATGATGCGCCAATGGACAGAGGATCAGGCCATGGCACAGCAGCAGGCAAAGGATCAGCAAATGCGTCAGTGGATGGAAGATCAGGCCAAGACACAACAGGCCCAGGAGCAGCAACGCCAGTGGACGGAGGACCAGGCCAAGGCACAGCAAGCGATGCAGCAACAGAATCCCATGACGATGCGCCAGTGGACAGAGGATCAGGCCAAGGCACAGCGGGAGCCGCAGCAGTTTCAGCAGCAGATGCCCATGATGATCCAGCAACAGAACCCCATGATGATGCGCCAATGGACAGAGGATCAGACCAAGGCACAGCAGCAGGCAAAGGCGCAGCAGGAGATGCAACAGCGTCAATGGACAGAGGATCAGACCAAGGCTCAGCAGCAGGCCCAGGAACGGCAGCGTCAATGGACCGAGGAGCAGGCCAAGGCGCAGCAGCCGCAACAGATGTCCGAGAAATCTATGGAACAGGCAGCCGAACGCCAGTGGGCGGATGAGAAGATGCGCGCCATCCAACAGCAGCAGCAGCAGGATCAGCCGGATGAGGAGTCGTCGGTGCTGGGCGAGGCTAAGCCGCAGATGCCCGAAAACGCTGGCCAGGCACGCCACAAAGGTAATCTTTATGGTGTATTCCGCAGTACAGATCCTAATCTCTTGCCGCAAACAGTGGACGCGCTTGGCCTCGGCGGCGATCATCGCAAGAAATCCAAATCCCATTCGTCGCCCACCGTCATCAACTACTACCACAGTGCTCCGGCCAGTTACGGCCAGGGCTACGGACAGAACTACGGCCAGGGCTACGGACAGAGCTACGGCCAGAGCTATGGCCAGACCTCTGGACAGGGCTACGGTCAGGCCTACGGCCAGAACTCCGCCCAGAGCTACGGCCAGACCTATGGCCAGAGCTCTGGACAGGGCTATAGACCCAGCTATGGCACCAGCTACGGCGGCGGCGGGCAAGGATCCAATGCATATGGCGGCTATCGTGCGGCCGTTGGCAACGACGAGATCGACTCCATGCTGCGACAGCATCAGGTCATGGCGGTAAGTTTAGCCAAATCCAAAACAATCTATAGATGGAACAAGCCTTTAACCCAATCAAGATCAGCTCCGAGCCCATAAGGCTAACACGTGCTGGATCACTCGATCTGCCAAGTCGATATAGTCAAGGGCTTAGCTACCTCTACCCACTGGGAATGGGTTGAAGGGTATGCCCGCTTACTCCAAGTGCATATAACAGGCAGAAGACTGCATGCTCCCAATTGTAAAAAAGCGATAAATATCGACTGACTGGACTGGACTGACTGACTGGAAGACAGACTGGAAGACAGACGGGAAGACATACTGGAAGACAGACTGGAAGGCAGACTGGTAGATAACTGGAAGACAGACTGGAAGACGGACTGGAAGGCAGACTGGAAGACATACTGGAAGACAGACTGGAAGGCAGACTGGTAGACAGACTAGTAGACAGACTGGCAGGCAGACTGGAAGGCAGACTAGAAAGACAGACTGGTAGACAGACTTGTAGACAGACTTGTAGACAGACTGGAAGGCAGACTGGAAGACAGACTAGAAGGCAGACTGGAAGACAGACTGGTAGACAGACTTGAAGACAGACTGGAAGACAGACTGGAAGACAGGCTGGAAGGCATACTGGTAGGCAGACTGGTAGACAGACTGGTAGACAGACTGGAAGACAGACTGGAAGACAGGCTGGAAGACACACAGACAAACATTGCTTTTTACTAGAGCACTTTTGCTTGCCTTTTTAAGTGTCTGGTTCCATCTATATATTGTTTATATATTCTGTTAAGACAAACCAAGCACACTCACACACATGCGCACACACACACAGCCACCCACACACAGGCACACCCTCAGACACACACAGGCACACCCTCAGACACACACGCACACACACACACCCGAGTAGCTGGCTTCATATCATTCACATTTTTGCATCTTCTCCTCGCCCGCTGTTCCTCATGTCATTAACAGGCGACGCATTTCAGACAATAAAACCCAACAACAACAACAACGACAACAACAAGGATGAGCAGCTGACCAGCGGGAACAGCAGCTCCTCCGCATCCCCCCCAAACCCATCCGCGCCCAGCAGTCATCACATTGAGAAAAGGTTAGCAAATTTTTTTAGCAAATCCTCGCCAACATTGCGGTCAGGCAGCTGCGGCTGCGGCAGCGCTCACTGCGCCTGCGGCAGCAGCTGCCGTTGCGCCGCGGCCCAAGCCCAAACCCAATTCCAGGGCCAATGTCCGTGCCAGCAGGCTGAGCCGGCTGGCCGGCGCAGACGCAGCGCGGAATACGGCACGCTGGAGACCATTGATGAGGGCTCGCTAAATGCGCTGAGAAAGGAGTACAAGCTGGGCCTGAAGGAGATCACGCTCAGTCCGGACGAGGATCCGGCCGAGGCGCTGATGCGCTACAATGCCGCCTCCATACGCGAGGCACTCGAGCGCGCCAGCCAGGAGCCGCTGGAGATCAACGGCGATCAGCTCACGGCAGGCGAAATGGCCGCCCACCAAGAGGAGCTGGAGTATGCCACCGAGCCGACGTTGGTGACAAGCACCGCAGCCCCCACGCCCGCTGTCAGCAGCACGGAGCGTGCCCAGCAGGATGCGCCCAGCAGCGAGCGGGCAGCGATAACCGCAGAGCTGGCCGCGACACGCGCCGAATTCAAGCAGCTGTACGGCCTGATCGAGAGCCTCAAGGAGCAGCTGACCAAGGCGGAGCAGCGGCTGCGGGATTGCAGGCAGCCGGTGACAGCCACAACGAGCAGCAGCACGAGCTCTAGCACGAGCACGAGCACGACGACCACGACTGAGGCGCCGATGCCATGGGCGCATCTGCTAGCCAGCAAAGGCTACGATACCAACTATTTGTCCAAGACGCACGAGCACCAATATGCCCAGGGCGAGCAGCTGGACATGCCCAAGCCGGAGTCGACGGGTTCCGGTGATTATAGCTACCAGGAGCTGCAGCCCTACGAGCCGGACAACAAGCCCAAGCGCGCCACGGACGTCAATAACGGCACCGCGACGACGACGGAGCATTCCACAGCGGCGCTGCAGCAGGCGCGGCAGCTGAATGCGGCGCTCCACAGTAATGCCATAGCCGATAAGGGAGACGATGATGCGGCTAATATAAGCACCAGCACGGCGACGCCGTATGCGCTGCGTGGTAAATTTGTGCGCAGGCGGAGCACCGCCCGGCTGGGATTGCGGACGACGCGGCAAGCGAAGGTAACGAAGGCATCCAGCGAGAATGCGGAGCTGTCGCTGTTGCGTGTGCGCAGCACGAAGCTAGATCAACTGATCGATGTCTTACACGAACTCCTACGTTTGCAGCTCCAGCGGGAAAATGCGCTCGCCAAGATAAACAGCTCCAGCTCCAGCTCCCGCGCCAGCTCCACCAGGCGTCCCAGCAAAGTCTCGAAGCGTTTGCGCCGGCGACGCAAGCAGCGTCCTAGCAGCAGCCCCAATAACATCAATTCATCTATTTAAATCAACAACAACTTTACCATTAACTTTAACATTAACTTTACCATTAACTTTAACATGAACATAACTAATGTTGCCTCATTCATGCTATTCACTCTCATTGCATATGTTGACATCCAATCAGTCAGTCATCAGCAACCGCACCCGCATCAGCACCTGCATCAGCATCAGCATCTGCACCTGCATCCACATCAGCATCAACATCTGCATCCATAGCCGACGTCGACGAGGCCAATGTGGGCGCTCCACTTGGCCTGCAAGAGGGCCTGCTGCGGCCCTACATGGGCCTGCTGCCGATCGAGCAGCCGAACGATCCCTGGACACAGAAGGCATATAATCCGCATTATCCTTTGTATAGCGGCGGCGGCAGCTATGAGACGTATCTGAGGCCACGCCGGGACACGCACATTATGGCGCGCAGCCAGCCGCTGCTGACGCCCGGCATGCTGGAGCGCCTGCTGCGCATCAAGGCAGAGTTTCAGAAACGTTTTCCCCATCTCTACCAGAGCATGCTCAATCATCATACGAATCAGACGCGTGTCGTGGTTAAGCCACCGCTGCTGGTCCGTCTGTCCAGCAATCGGGCGAGGCATAGCGACGAGCCGCTCCTTGAGCTGGGCGCCGCCGAGCGCGGTCTCTTTGACGAGGAGGCGGACGAAGAGGAGCAGCAGGCAGACAGTGTCGAGCAGCCGACCACCGAGAAGAACGAGTCCAGCGAGCTTTTCGATAAAAAGGATAACCTTGATGGCGATGTCGACTATTTCCATTTCGAGGATAACGATGACAATGTTGATAACGATAACGATAACGATACTGATATTATTGACGATTAGATAATGGTTATTTTAATTATGTAAATCCCCTTGAACAGAATCACTAAACATGTATAAAAGAAAACCGTTGCGTTTCAATTACATTTATCGATATATATGTATATCGATAGGCACATTCGCTAGGTCTTAGAGATGAGAAATCAGCAAAGGGTTGTGATATGAGCACAGGGTTGTGAGTGAAGCTTTGACTGATTGCTGGTGATTGCACCTGACACACAATATGCCCCAATCCTCCCGCGCCTTATGATTTGCAACTGACAGCAGTTGGGCTTGCCTTGTTCTTGACTTGGGTCCAACCCTCACACGCACTCCCCGGGGAAATCTGTTTAATGTGTGCTTAATAAGCATATTGGTGCATAACAATCCGAATACCTGATATCCAATGCCCTATAGACTCGTCGTCTCCATTTGTCTTTCGCGGCTTTCGTCAAATTTTCGTCAAATAAGACAACTTTTTATAAACACATATACTGAAAAAAAACAGAAAAGCGGAGATTTAATTAGTGAGAATCGCGTAGAAGAGCAATATTTAAAAATATGTTTCTTGTTCATTTTCATACACGCATACATGTATATATTCAACTACATGCAAAACAATATGCTCACATACCTTATAATAAATAGTTAAGTATATAATACGTACCAGTTTATTCAATGAGCTCTGCCAAAGCCATAGTGACTGCCTCCTTCGTCTCCTCCTTTGCTTGAGCTGCCATCCCTCCTATTTGAAAGCCGCCGCCTTCTCTGCCTAAGCAGCCGTCGCCTGTTTAGCTCAAGCTGCTGTCTCCTGCATCGCCCAAGCCGAAGACTCCTCTGTTGTTAAAGCTGCTGTCTTCTCTTTAGTTAAAGACGCCTCCTCCTATGCCACCGTCTCCTTCATAGTTGCAGCCGCCGCCTCCTGAATAGTTGAAGCCGCCTCCTTCATCGTTCAAGCTGCCGCACCCTGCATAGTTGAAGCCGCCTCCTTCTTTGCTAAAGCTGCCGTCTCCTCCATTAGTTAGGCCACCGTCACCTTAATAGTTGCAGCCGCCGCCTCCTGCATAGTTGAAGCCGCCTCCTCCAATAGTTAAGCCACCGTCTCCTTCATCGTCTAAGCTGCCGCACCCTGCATAGTTGAAGCCGTCTCCTCCAATAGTTGGGCCACCGTCTCCTTCATCGTCTAAGCTGCCGCACCCTGCATAGTTGAAGCCGCCTCCTCCTTTCCTAAAGCCGCCGCCTCCTGCATAGTTGAAGCCGCCTCCTCCAATAGTTAAGCCACCGTCTCCTTCATCGTCTAAGCTGCTGCACCCTGCATAGTTGAAGCCGTCTCCTCCAATAGTTAAGCCACCGTCTCCTTCATCGTCTAAGCTGCCGCCTCCTGCATAGTTGAAGCCGCCTCCTCCAATAGTTAAGCCACCGTCTCCTTCATCGTCTAAGCTGCCGCCTCCTGCATAGTTGAAGCCGCCTCCTCCAATAGTTAAGCCACCGTCTCCTTCATCGTCTAAGCTGCTGCACCCTGCATAGTTGAAGCCGCCTCCTCCAATAGTTAAGCCACCGTCTCCTTCATCGTCTAAGCTGCCGCCTCC